CTCATCTCCTCCCCATGACCCTTCTATAAGGGGATGTCCAGTTGTGTACAGATGGGCTTTGGGCCCCCACTCCGCACTGCCCCTCATTCTCAATGATATTTTTGTTCTTGATGCCTGATACCTGATTCATTCAACACTTCGTGATCACACAGGCTGGTGTGTTTCTTCCATGTGAGCTTTGTTGCTTCTCAGGTAGATGGCCACTTGTTTACCTTCAAGCCTTTAATAACCCAGTTGCTATATCTTTTGATAGCTGGGGACCATCAGTGTTCTTCACCACATTTGCTTATGCACCTGCTTTATCTTCAGTGATCATGTCAGGAAGGTGAGCATCATGGAATGCCAGTTTCATAGAACAAAGTGTTCTTGCATTGAGGGGGTACTTGAGTGGCGGCCCAATGTTCATCTGTGACCTTAATACTAAACCTCTAAATATATGCACATAGATCTATTTTCTTTTCTAACTTCTAGAGTTCCATTCTTTGCATTGCAGTTCAGAGCCTTGAACTCTATCTTCAAAGCCAGGGTTCCAAATTCTCTCTGAACTCCTGCCTTTTTCTTGTAGGGATGCTACTTACCCAGATACTCCAGTCAAAACTTCACATCTTAAAAGCCTTAACCACATCTTCAGAGTCCCTTTAGCCATGTAAGATAGCATTCACAGGCTCTGGAGATTTAAATGTGGACATATCTGTGGGCCATTATACCACAATGTGTGTATTAAAGTAGACCTTAAGGAGGACGAACCCAAGGAAAGGTTTGTACTTGGGCCACTGGGCAAGCGATTCTGTGTAGTTCTGGGCTTGCTGCACGATCTGGATGCCAAGGAGGTGTAAGATTGATGTGGGCACCTCGCTGTGGCCATCCAAAATCCCTATCCTGCTCAGCTGGAAAGTTTCCTCTAAAACACAGGACCCCGAGGGTCTTAAGGGTTGTAAGAATGACACATCTCTTTCCTGGATAATCCGGCAATCACTGTCTATTTCCTTTTCTACTGCTATATCAATAAGATTTCTTTGCAGGAAAGCTTGTTAGCAAATTGTGTTAGTCTTAAAAAAAAACAAACAACTCCTCCCATCCCTGCCTTTTACTTGTCATAAAAGAGCCCCATTCCACACCCACACTTTGTTTTTAACCACCCTGCCTTTCCCTTCCTTTACCTCTCTAATTTCATCCTTCCGCCACCTCTTCAGTGTTCTTAAAATACTCAAGATGTCACCTGTTTGTTCTGTTTGTAAAAAGTATGCTACCTAGTTAGTAGCAAGTTATTCCTTAATCCTATGTTATCGTTAATTTATTCCTTTTCCAATATTTCTATTTTAGTCTCATTTTTTCCTCTCGTCATTTGAAGTCTGCAGAGCTCCTTTTATAATCAAATTTGAAATGAGTTATTCTATGCACACACTCTCTATTTGTAGTTTTGCTGGATCTTGGCAATTGCATAGAGATGATTCTCACTTAATAAAATGTTAAAATGCTATTTTCTCGTCCTCTCTCCCTTTTTAAAAATATTCCCAGCACTCATCTATGGTTTTTCTTTATTCTCATGAATACATAAAATTTTTCACGAAATCTTCCGTTTAAGACTATGATATGGTCTGGGTTTCCAAAGAGCTCCGGAAATTATTTAACAACTTTTCTTGATTATAGAAATTTGGAGCTCTTTTTCCTTAAAGAGATAATACACAGTTTAATGCTTCTACTGGAAAGAAGATATCATAATTTAAGTTTTATTTCAAACTCAGATGTTGTAATATTAGTGAACCCCCCCCCATATGTTGACCTAATAATGTTCTAATATTATCACAGTGTGTGCAATGGAAGAACAGGGGTGTGTGTGTGTGTGTGTGTGTGTGCGCGCGCGCGCGCGCGCTGTTTATCACTATATCCCTAGCACCCCTTTGTGGCCGGATTCTTAAATAATTGAATGAATGTCAAAATTTTTCAATGATAGAATTTCAATATGACGTTTTAAAAATAACATAAAAATGTTCAATATAAGCCAAGTACCTAAGTTAGAATATTGAAATACAGATGTTAGAATTTCCAATTGGAGTTGCATTCTCTCCCATCCTATTTGGACACAAGTAACAATGTATGCCTTTAAAGGTGCTAATGGGCCTCAGAATGGGAACAATTGTGAGGATGGTGCTGGACCAGGAGATGCTTTGTTCTGCCGTTTTCATGGTCTCAGTGGATCAGAAGAGACTTGACGGGAGCTAAGAACAAGAGCAACTAAAGGGTGCATTTTTAAGATGCTGGTGGTCTGATAAGTCATTTATGAATTTATAAATGTGGGGATGTTTATGTATCATATAGATATTATACATACTGATATATATAGCAGAGTTATACAGATATTAAATACTAAATATCATCTTAACTCAGGGTTAGGTGGTGAGAATTTTGAATCTCTGCTACTAAATGAAGACAAAGAAAAAGAGATATATGTCTTTCTTACCCTTTCTGGTCATCCTTTCAGCAATTTTGTATTTGAACTGCTTCACTTTTATTTTGTTAGTATAAGAATGGTAAAAATAAATATCAATTTTTAATGTGAAGGGATGCTAATATGCCTTCATCATTTCAAAGAGTTTTCATTTCATCGAGTTTTCACCCCCCCTGTCTCATATTCTTCTGTGGTATACATTTTACAGACGATTTAAGATATCTTTTTTTTTCTTCCTTCAGAATGGCTTCACTCCTTTATACATGGCTGCCCAAGAGAACCACATTGATGTTGTCAAATATTTGCTGGAAAATGGAGCTAATCAGAGCACTGCTACTGAGGTAAGGCTATCCTTTGCAAAGGCTCCAATTCTTTGACCTTTTGTTTGTTTGTTTTTATTAAAATATCATTTTACTGGGGACTCTTACCACTCTTGTTACAATGCATACATTGATTGAATGAGGCATGTTTGTACATATGTTGCCTTCATTCTTTTCTAGGCATTTACTCTATTGAGCCCTTGGTATCAGCTCCTCTTGTTGCCCCTCCCTGCTCCCCACCTCATAACCTTTTGATAGATTATAAATTATTATTTTCATATCTCACACCAACTGCTGTCTCCCTCCCTCCATGTTTTCTGGTGGTCTTCCCCCCCTGGAGAGGGGTGTATGGTTATGTGTCGATCTCTTCCTCTCCCCTCACACCCTCTACCCTTTTGGTATCGCTATTCCAACTCCTGTTCCTGGATTCTGTGTGTTGTGAACCCCCATCTCTTATCTATACACAGTTCTTTGGTCTTAATGTCCGCATTTTTCATATCCAGCCATAAAGCAGACCTCACACCATGTGTAAAATACCTCAGTAATATTTATGTGACTACTGTACCCCATAGCAGTGGTCCCGTGTGAGTGGTGCAGGATTGTGCTCATGGAACTTACGCTTTTATTTTTCAATCATGTAAATTCACATGCATTATTAATCTGGTAGACTCTACATTTGGGAAGACATTTTCAATTCTAAACTTAACTAAAATTAAATTCTTCTTGTCTCTTTTAAATCAATGCTTTAACCTTGTTATGACCCTGAACAGTGTCTTAAAGGAGCAAGTTCTAGTGATCAGAAATAGTTCATAGGTAATGATAAAAGCACTATTTTGTAAGGGATGGTCACTAAAAAGGCTACCTATATGGAACTCCCATAGCACTGTAGACTAAACAGTGGGCTGTCAACCACTAGGTCAGTGGGTCCAACTCACCAACCACTCTAAGAAGAAAGTAGTGATTGTCTAGCCCTATAAAAATTTAGTCTCAGGAACCCTATGGAGCAATTGTAATTGATTGTCCTATAATCAGAATCAACCCCATGGCAGTGGATTATGGTCCTGCCACATGGATTCAGTGTGATGTTGTTTTTATGATTTGTAGTCATTTTCTGATACACTACCCACTGTAAGTAAGTATCATGTAAATGTATTCAGGCAAAGATTGGACAACAGTATGAGACTGCATCTCTGCTTCCTGACCTCTGAGAAATGTTCCAAAATAAGGAAATCTATTTTTGTTTCACTTTATATCTTTAAAGGTAAAATTTTTTACCAGAGCAAACAAACCAAAAACCCATTCCACTATCGAGTTTTTCTGTTCCCCAAATAGGCTCACAGTTTGGAGTATAGGGTCTGCTGATCCTACAGCATTTCCGTCAGCTTCCAGCAACAGCCCTTTGTGCACATCATATCCATGGAGATCATGTTACAGGTGGTTCCTCAGAAATATAAGCCCCCCTCTACCCATGCCAAGATGGGGCATTAGACATGAACCACATGAGGCATGGAATTGAAGCTTAGACACATATACCTGTTCTGTGAGGTTGATTTGGCGACAGAATGAAAGAAGGATAGCAAAGGTAGAAAACAGTTTCAAGGGTTTATTTCAGAGCTCTTGGAGGAAAGGGAGATCAGACAAAGGGACAAGAGCATCCTGAGTTCCCAGGTTAGATTCATGGGCCCCCACTTGTGGCTGAGTCTGATTTACTTCCTCCGTGGGTGACCACGTCTGCTCTGTTGTTTCCCTGTGTTAGCAGGGAATCATCGGTTTGATGCCCTTCATATTTCTGACATGTCAGGGGCCCCGTGGACCATGGGTGAGAGGGACAGCCAACAATTCCCATGACACAGACCTTGGAAGGGAGTAAAGGACCAGAGAAGGAAGGCAAAACTAAGAAGGTAGTCCTTGTGTTGACCAGAAAGGACAAAACCGCTACCTAGACTGTTACCCCAGGCTCAGCAAGGGTAATTGGGGTCATTGAGTCCAGGCTCCATAAGTCCTCAGCAGCCAGGTCCAGTAGTGCCAATGGCAGGTCAGGGCTTGGAGGGATTGGCCTTCCACAGCTGGGAACTGAAGGACAGTCACTTCTCCAGTGGCCCCGTTGACCGCGTGCTGGACAAGGCTTGTTGGGCGGACAAGATCGTGGGCAGTGATTGGCCCAGTGATCTTGCTGACCACCCTTGAAGTAGACTCCTGGGGGTGGTCTGAAACTGTTGTGCTCTGGATCTCAGAAGGATGCTGATGTCTTCCTGGTTGCCGAGGGCCTTAGGACTGCATCAAGGCTTGGGCCTGTAAGCTTGCCTTCTGGTCATTTCAGGACTCCCTGTCTGCCTCTGCTTGCTTCTCTCTAGTATTAAAGACTTTAAAGGCCATATTTACCAGGTCATGGACAGGAGTTTGAGGGCTGCGGTTCGCCTTTTTAAACTTTTTCCTAATGTCTGAAGCTGATTGGGTAATGAAATGTGTGTCAAGGACAGTGGCCCCTGCTGGTGAGGATGAGTCTAGGCAGGTGTATTGGGTAAGGGCTTCAGTCAGGCAATTTAAAAATGCTGCGGGATTTTCATCCGGCCTTTGAGTAATTTTCCTGAGCTTATCAAAATTAACTGCTTTGTGAGAAATTGCCTAGAGGCTGGCCAAGACACACTGGAGCATTTTATCTCGGCGGGCCCGGCCGCTCCATCCTGCCTAGGTATTGGTCTGGTAACTCCAGCCTGGTTCCTGCCGCAGGACTGCTTCGGTACCCACAGGCATGTTGGGGTCAGTGAGAGGAACCTGGTCTGCATGCTGCTGGGCAGTGCTAAAAACACGCTCTCTTTCATCTGAGGTGAGAGTGGATGAAAGGACTACAAAAATATCATGCCAGGATAAATCATAGGCTTGAGACAAATAGCAAAACTCTTTGATGCAGGTGGTGGGATCACGGGAAAAGAAACTTAAGCACTTTTCAATTTGGGACAAGTCAGTGAGAGAGAAGGGAACGTGGATGTGGGAGAGACCTTTGGTGCCCACAACTTCCCATAGAGGGTAGAGGAGGACTTGGTGCAAATGGGTAAGATGACTTCCAGGAGAAGACAAAGGAGAGAGTTTAGGACCTGGAGTGGTGAGGTTGGTGGAGGGGAATTTGAGGGAGGTGACAGGTAGTACAGAGAGAGGGACAGGAGTGTAGAAGGAAGAAAGCTTGGA